ATCCTGTGAGGAGAGGCTGAGGGCTCTGGGTTTGTCTAGTTTGTAGAGAAAAAGGCTGGGTGGTGACCTCCTTACTCTCTATGGCTTTCTGAGGAAGGGACGTGGAGAGGAAGGTGCTGAGCTCTGCTCCCTGCTACCCAGTGACAGGAGACATGAGAATGGTTCAAAGCGGCACCAGGGGAGGTTTAAGCTGGACACCAGAAAGCATTGTTTTTACCAAGAGGGAGGTCAAACACTGGAACAGACTTACTGGAGAGTTGGTTGATGCCCCAAGCCTGTCTGTGTTAAAGGGGCATTTAGACAATGAATTTATTAACATGCTTTAACTTTTGGTCAGCCCTGAAGTGGTCAGGCAGTCAGACTAGAAGATTGTTGTAGGTCCCTTATAACTGAAATATAATTTTCTATATTTAAAGTTTTCACCATTATGCCTCAAAAGTAATTCTTAAAGAAACCAAAAATTGAAATTCTGTGGGCAAAATATTAGATACTCTGTTAAAAGCACAAGAATGTTAATATATGAAAGCAAACACAGAAACTTCTTATTTTTTTCCCGAAGTTTTTAAAAGGCAGCAAAAAAGATTTCAGAAACAGGGTCTTTCAACATGAAACAGAGTAGGTGGGAATTTTAACTGTTTTCAAACTGAAATTACACACATGGGTACACTCACATGCACAGACCCTCCCCACAGTGACAGAGTCCCACTTGCTCTGAGAAATTATAAAATCACTGAAGGTACTAGGATCAGTCCTAAGTATTGATTGGTAGGCTTTTAGAAAAAACAAAAGAAAATGAATCTTGCTTCTTGTCCAGTTCTTCATTGGCATCCTACTTGATGCTGAGTATAAAGAAAAAGATCCCATTTAAAACCTGCAAGTTATGGGCCCTGATTTGGTAAATCATGTTATACATGACTAATGTTAAGGGCAAACAGAACTTCAATGCAATAGAAGCAACTACGGATTTGTAGATTCTAGAATTCTGTATATCTAGAATTATAAAGTACATAAAGAAATCTAGACTCATAAGTACAATATAAAAAAATGTAGTTGACACAAACCCAATCACAGTATAGTAGCTATTCAGGAAAGTTGCTGCATCATTAGTTCAGTCTAATTTGTGGAACAATTATTAAGTCAAGTGAACAATCAGAACTATCAGCTTAACAATTCAGAATTTTTAACAAGTTGCCCTAACAAGATTTTTTCATCCTTTTCCCTGCATCCTTTCCCGCTGTCTCTTGCAATTGCACACTTACTTGCTTGCTGCCTTTCCCTACATCCTAAAATATTTTCATTTCTTCTCTAACACCTTTGTTAATGAACAACGTAGTGCTTTGCTTTTTGCCCTGGCACTCTGGAGAACTCTTTGTCATGTCTTTATTTCACTCACAGTGCGAATGATTCCTCACTTCTCAAGAGAGGGAAAGAGTAGGTGAAGGGAGAGGACAGGGGTAAGGGCTTGGGTTTGTTTGCAATTTTACAGACTTAGGCCTGTCCCCTTCTTTCTTTTCTTCCCTTTCTCCCTTCTTGCCTCCTTCCCTCCTCATCAATACTTAAAAAGTCATTCCCATTCATGATGTGTGAGCACACACGCTGGGAGAAATTACAGGCGCTCTGCTCCGGGTTGCCTTGACAACTTCAAGGCATCCCTGTGCGTGGGGACCAGTGGCACAGAGAAGTTTCCCAGGCCCCCTGGGGAAAGGGAGGGAAATGGAAGAGAGGAAGCAGAGGTGCTGGAGCCAGCATCCATCCAGAGGAAAGAGCAGAGAGCAGGATGAAAGGAGCACATACATCTCATGCGGGACAATGGGAGTTTTGCTGGCTGGCTGTGAAAGGACACACTGAGGATACAATGGTCTACAACACATGAAAGCTTTGGAGCGAACTTTATTGCTTCTTCATTAAGGACCCTTCCAGAGTCTCTAAGTTCTAAGCCCTCAGATTCTCAGCTTTAAGAAATCTTGTCAACATCTTAAAATTTAAAGAAAACAATCCCTTTCATTTTCTTGTGTCTTAAAAACATTTAAAATAATTTTTTAGCTAATTCTTGTTGATGATATGCTGGAAGCTTTTGCAGTTTCAACCATGTACAGTACCAAGTGTCCCTCCTGTGTGTTCCTTGAGTTGCCATTAACTTGAGTGGGAGGGAATGTTTCCCAGCAGGTCCCCAGTAGGGGCTCTCTGAGGTGAGAACTTGTTTCCTCCTCATATAGCTTTTATTCATACTGTCATCCCTCTGCTTTTAATGCTTGCCGCTATAAGCAAGCCACAAGCAGTTTGAGTGTAAGACTAGAACTGCTGTTCCCTACTTTCAAGCTGAGAAGTCATTTATATGATAGCAAAAGCAGGAATAAGACTGACTAGCCTAAAATAAGGGACCATGCAGTCACAGCCAGTGTGCACAATAGGAAACCAAGCTGAAAAACAGCTCATAAAGAAAAGAGCATGACTCTTGCTCCCAGACATACCACTTTCACACAGTTCACCAGTCAATTCCAGAATCAGTCCAAGAAAGAAAGAGGATCACAAGTTCTAATCCTTCAACACAGAAATCTTTAGTGGTAAAATAAGCACTACGCTTGACTCCAAATGATTCTTGGATTGCAGGAGACTCAACTTAGTATCAATTGTGGAGTGCAAAGAAAGATCAAGTTTGGTTAGAGTTGTAAGTACAAACGCCTGCAACCCCTCTAGGTTGACAGTGCTCAGCATTTGGTCCTGAATCTATTACCTGGCAAGGGCACAGTACTGAGAACTGGCTGATATAATATCTGTGCATTTCCAAACCTTCCTATCAAACTATATAGGTTAATCATTTTATGCTCAGGATGTGAAACAAGTTTAAAGCTGCTCTTATGCTCTTAGCTAAAATGAAAAAATTGCCCATTGATGCTACTTTTGAAATAGCAAGTAAGAATAAAAAATTAAAATATACAAAAATAAAGTTTACTGGACTTGTATGTGTGGGTTCATATTTCACTTTTTAAATTACACAAGTTACATACTTATACTTTAAATAAAATAGTTGCAACAAATGCTGTCTGGTATAAACATTGTGCAACTCAGTAGCAGATCTGAAATTCTGTAAAAATGACTAACTTTATTTTATACAATGGTTAATTATATTTGCATTATTCTGCATTTGCATTATTTTGAGGACTTAAATAATTGATTCTCCACCCACCATCAAGAGGGATACAGGACTTCTTGTTTGTAAAGATAAAAGAACTATTACTTGGTAGTATTTACCATTTTCACAGGTTTTCAAAACATAAATGTAGACATACCCCAAGCATATAATCCAGTTTCACAGATGGAAAAACTAAGGAGAGGAATGAAGGATCAAGTGCTTCAAATGTTGGATTTCCATTTTCAGTTCCTTTCTCAGTAACACATTGTTCTTCCACTACAATGACAGGCATAAATCAAGCATTTCAAGGTGCAAATCTAGTGGTCTTCCTTTGCAATTCATTTTGTGTGTACAAATTTTGCTGATTGTAATGGCTTTTGCTGAAAGGACAGGCAAGCCCTCGCTGAAATGAGAGGGTAGGTATGAAGCATGTGATGAGTTTTATTCTTTGGAGATTTGACCAGTGTCTGGAACATAGCCTTGATCTCAGTTACATCAGTGTCTAAATTACTTTTATTCTAACTCCAATAGCACATATTTCCTCCTTTAGGAGATAGAAGTACAATATGTCTACAATGATTTGAGAAAATACTTTTTTCCAGTTCATGATTCTCGGTTTATGTTTCCATATTATTTATATTCATGTAGTACTGTTACCTTATTTTAAATGCTTTCTCCTCTGATACAGGCACCTAGAGCAGAAGGTGGTCAAATTTCATTGTATTTTATATGTTCAAAACCATCATATAGATAGATAGGCAGCCTGAAGAAATCTGGATTAGACAGTGCCATGTGGGGGTCCATAGGAGGAGGTAATAAAGTGAAGAGATCCTTCCTTGACCTGTTTCTTCATTCTGCGCTTTGAAAGCTTGATTTCAACAAGAAACATCATCATTGTTTGAGACAGATGGTGTAACCCTCCAGATGAAGTAGGGGGAAGTTACTGACTATTTTAAATTTTAAGGAGGAGGAGTAAAGGGACATTTTAAGGAGAAGAACACTAAAAACAGAAAAAAACATTTCCATTTGTGACAGTCTTCATGAGGCACTCCTTCTCAGAGATTCAGAGCTTTTTCCCTGGCAGAAATGCAGCTTCATTTAAAAAACACACTGCAGCCTTGTCGGTGAAGTCTGATTAACAAATGCTTTAGCAGATGCCATAGTGAGCACCCTAGTATTCACATTATATCAGATGCATTAAGACAAGCCAAAAATTGGGATTAATGTTGCAAGGTTTCCAAAGCTTATAAAGGACTCTAAATGTTTATTCATACAATAGTAAGGATTTTCTGAAAAAAAAAACCCACAAAACAACAACCAAACCCCCCCCCCAGAAACTAACAGCAGTTAATCTGGTTTAAACTCCCATAGCTTGGGACAGAAGGAAATGAGGTCATTCCATTAAGGACTGAAGAAATCTCTTTATAGACGTTAATTGTAGCAAACATTACTAAGATTACTGGAGAGTACTGTTTTATTTCCTACTATTTCAGATTAGGTGCAGCACATTTCTAAGTCACATTTTTCAGACTATAATAACTATGCTAATCAAAACCCAGAAACTGGCTCTCTGGAATGCATGCAGTACCATATTGCATCAGACCAATAATCTTTACTTTTACAAAGTGTTAACAAAGCAGAGGAAGCTGCAACACTTGTAATAGAACATCATATAAAAACAAGCATTAGGAGTAGGATGGCAAGACAGGGGCAGTATGAGTTGCAGAAGAGGGCTGACCTACATTGGGTAGCTTTTCAAATGCAATGGTCATCAAAACTCTTTGCTCAAAAGTATTTTTAACATGCTGAGTTTATACTCTTTACTCACAACTGTATGAGGTAATGTCCTTGTGCTTAAATTTACTAGGAATTGCTGCCCTGGATAGTAAAGCATCAGGGAAGATGGGAGTCCGAGCAGTAATCTACTACATGAGTACTACGATCATTGCTGTACTGATTGGTATAATCATTGTGGTCATCATTCACCCTGGGAAAGGTACTAAAGAAAACATGCACAGAGAAGGCAAAATTGTGCAAGTGACAGCAGCAGATGCCTTTCTTGATTTAATCAGGTATGCCTATGATATTGCACATTTTCTGTACCAATAGCAACAGTAATAATATTTAGGTTCAAACAAACACAAAAGTAGAGAATTTTAGACAGTAATTGCATAAGCTAGCCAAATTTCTTTCAAGTATGTGATACCAGGACCCTTACAACATTGCAAAAGAATACATGGATTTATTTTTGAATCAAGCCATTGCTAGAGAAGAACCTGCTTTTAATATTCAAAAATACGTTCACATGCAAAAGAAAGATTTCTGTTCTGCTATCTGCATGAGTCTTTTCACCCACTTCCATAGTACAATCCTTATTATCCAGTTCCTCTGCTTTCCTTATTTCCAACTTCTGACAGTTTTCTCACTTCACTTGAATCCCTGATTTAGCTATTCTTCTTAATTTTGAATCATAGCCGCCAATCTGGGTCCATCTACTCAACTTGTTAAATTGTATGTATGGGAAATGAATTCCAGGAGCAGGCAAGTAAATGCTTGAAATAGAAGGGCACAGATAAAAAATACTGTTTTCTCCTTGCTCAGAGACTCTGCAATACCTCTTTTATAGAGCTAATATGTCATAGATGTATTCCAGGGAGTAGGGAAGCTGAGGTTTTGAACTCAGGAGCTTTTCCACAGGTAAAGCCACCAAAATTTTGTGTTCCACTAACCCATTTGGAGAAGCCAGAGACATGGAGAAAGGCCTCCAAGAGTCATGCTGCCAGGAAGGGGGACTTCAGAAAGACCCATGAAGAGGTTTGCACTCAGATTCCTCAAGATTTATTTGGATGGGCTGCTTCTAATTCCCTCAGAAATGTCACCATTCTGGAAAGCAAAGAAACAAACCCCCATATGTAACAAGTACAAACACACATACACATGTGTGTGTTTTATTATTAAAGAATACTCAAACTTGAGAAATACTTATTTCTTAATCATGAAAGACTCTAAATCAAGTGATGAATGTCATGAGGTGCTAGGCTATATGACTGCATAAAGTGAGAAGTAGAAATGCATTAAATATTACTTATTAATCTGGATTCAGAAAGCATTAATAAATACAAAATTTAAAGTCAGCACTGACCCACAGAGCTTTGTTCATTCGGTAATTTAGCTAATATTTTGCTCCATAACCAGACCTCATATACAATATTTGATTCAGAGATTGCCATTGCCAGGATCTATCCAACCCTACTACATTTCGTCCTTATAAAGCTAACCAGGCCAATGCTGTATGCAAAGCTCTACTCACTGTATGCATAACTACATACTGGTCTTAGGACTCCTTTGAAAATTAGCTGGTCAATTCTTTCAATAGCTGTTTCCCTACTTAAGACATTACTAGAATTTTATTGCTTCTAATGTTATTTTCTTTCTTTTTTCACAGAAATATGTTCCCTCCAAATCTGGTGGAAGCTTGCTTTAAACAGGTAAAAATGCATTGCTATTTTGAACTAAAACATAACAAAGTAAGAAATTGAAATAGAAGAGCATTTTCTTTATGAATATCACGTACTTGTACTTACAGCAGAAATAAATCTTATGCCTGCTGCCAGCTGTCAAAAAAAAAACCCAAATTAGACCAACTAAATCTGTGCTTTGGTTTCTATGAGAAGTGAAGAAAACACACTTGGCAAACAAATATAAAGTAAGATTTTTTCAAAATGTCAATAAGTCTACAGCAAGCTTCATTAAAATCAATGCAGAGTTTACTTTTCAAAACCAGTGCTATGTTAAATTGGGAGATATACACCCTTTATACAAAGAATGGAAGATGTTCATCAGAGAAATGTGCATGGGTTCAAATCAGAGGAAGCAATTCTGTGACCATCAATAATAAAATCAAACTAGAGAACTTCCTATCACCTACGACAGAAGAGCATAGGAATGCTCTTCTGTTGCTTCCCATGTTCCTTTATTATTAGCTTGGTCTTAACATAAACTGTTTTACAGAGAAAATAATAGTGACTAGTTGTATTCCTTTTTTTAAAGGAGGACATTATAGATTCAGCAAAACATATGTGTGTTTCTATAATCTGAGTGACCCCCCAGACAATCTTGAACTCATTTACCAGTTATTGCTGTAGCAGTAAAAAAGCCTGAAATGTGGAGGTCAAGAAGCAAGGGGATGAAGTAGAAACTTCCGAAAGTCCAGCTGAGTTACATCTTGCAGAAGAATTGAAAAGAAATAGTAACATTTTCTTTAGTTATATCAACAGAAACCAATAAAAGGCAGTGACTTTCTAAATTAAAGATTTGTTCAAGATAGAGATAAACTAGACCCAAGTCCAAAATCAACAAATGCTATGCCTCTGTTTTCAGTAAGGATGAGGACTAACTCAGGACAGTGATCCAGAAGAGCAGTACAAAAACACAAAAGTCTGTATCTAAACTAGAAACAAAATTAAAAAAAATTTAATGTAATAAGGTCAGCAAATAATATAATCTTTATCTCAAAATAATGAAATAATTAGGGCATAAAGTTACAGATTTAACAGCAAGTATTTTTAATAGATCTCTCAGTTTGGGAAATTATTGTTTATAAGTGGTAAAAGCAATCATATTGCCTTTCGAATTCTTATTTCAAAAAGATTTGGGAGTTGATTTAAGTAGTTAATGACCCATTAGCCTGGTATCGGGTGTGCTGACGAATATAAGTAGAAGAAAAGAGTGAAGACTTCATGATAAATGAAAATAAAAAACACATGAAAAAAGATAAAGAATAGCACAACTTTCTGAAACATAGATTGTACCAGAATAACCTTCCATTTTTCTTCCGCAGGACTGCTCATTTTCTTCTTTCCTTTTTTTAATATGAAGGAAGTAGTTGAGCAGAGGATAAAATTATTGTGAGAATTGTAAAATCTGAGGAGTTAGCAATGGAAGTAGCTGAAGGACTGGGTGCACCTCAATTGGTAATTCTTTTTAATTACATTGCCGTAGGATGCACACTGTGAAATTTATAGATGACAAGAAAGTCCAAGCACTTTGTATCAAAATATCTAACACATGCCAAAGAAGTTGGTACGTCCTTCGCATACTGTAATACTATGAAGTCACAACAACAAAGTGAATTGGCTCTTGCAAACATTGGCATTTTTAATTATCTCCTTCAGCACATGGACATAAATATTTAGAAATTAAAAGTAATTTCCGCTTTGAGATGCGAAGTCATCATTAGAAAGAAAACAAAATTAACACTTCTAATTGAGCTGTAGTATATACTGACATAACTCTAAGAGAGAAAATAAACCAGAGGAATGTGACTTTCTGGAATACTAAGTATATTCATGTCATTACATTCATAGGGAGATTCATGCAAAATAAGGCATAACGGAGAGAGAAGTTGCTAGGATTAAGAACACAGTGTATATAGCAAAAAGGTTGATTTAAAAAGTATTCAGGTACAAAAACCAAACTGGGAACAGAGCTGTGTGAGGTAAAGAAAAAAGTTTACACAAGATGTGGAAATTACTATGACTGAATTTAAAGTGGGAATTTTAGTAAGTTTTTAAACCTGCATTACCTAAAATGTAACATCCTGGAAAAATCTTCAATTAGGACTCATGGGGACAAACTACCTTATCAGTTTCAAGATGCAGCTTGAAAAATTCTTTTGATAAAGTATCCTTTAGCAACACGAAACTTGACTCAGTGACTAGCTATCCTAAATCTATGTTCTTAATTAAAAATGTTCTGTAAGTTCTGCTTACATTAAGTATATTGCATTTCCAATGTATTTTACAGCTTAAGGGATTTCCAAAAAATGGTTCACAAACCTGGAAATATTTAATGAATGTTTTTTTCTGAATTTCATTAGCAGATCTGCTTATTGAAGCAGGATTTTAAATCTGTCATACTGATACTATTGCATTTTCAATCAGGTACCAAACCCTAGATTTTTAGGTATAATTATTTTGTTGCAGCATATTTACTAATTTATAAGTGTTTTGCAGGAGAAACAAGTATGCGTAAGATCCAGGTGACTTTGTACATCTGACTCAACTTTCTTTTCAAAAGTTTTTCACATGTTTCTCAGAAGATTTACAAAGAAGGATGATCTATCTGGAAATAATTTGGTTCTGTAACAATATTTGTGTTTGCTGGCCCAAACACAACACAGACACATAGTCATACACACTCAAAGGTGTAATACTGACCCAGAGTTTTGCACAAGTGGAAACCATCACTGGCACATGCACTCTGCATTCAAAACGCAACTTTTGATATATTAGGTGCTCACATTCTGTCTTACAGCATCGTTAGGCAGGTTTCTTTCCTGACACAGATCAGGTTTTTCTTTCTAACTGTGGCCAGCAGACAAGTCCTCTAGTTACTGTGCTAGTCCTCACAGCAAGGTTTGACCCTGTTACTTTCCCCTTCAATAGCAAGCACTTCCCAAAGCACACAGAACCAGCTATAATTTCGAAAGTTTTTAGCCTCAGAGTAACACCAAGACATGGAAAATTGTACTTGCCTTTACAGAGCTAATTTTAGAGAAGAAAAGTTGATTTTCTGTATGTGGAATTGCTCTCCTGCAAAACTAAATAGAGTTGTGTGAAGAGGGTAACCAACCTGGGGAGGGCTTCTAGATGGAGTTGAGAAAGCTTTTGTAGGACTGCTGTTGGGAGAAGAAGAGTCATGAAGAGACCTTAAGGCTTATTTCGGAATAATCTTCCTCAGTTTTCTACTATTCCTCATTCAATCTTCTAGTCCTTTGGATTCACTTTTCTGTTTTTCTTCCCAGTGAGTCTGTGAGGTAAAGCTGCCTCTCTTGCTTCTTCTCCTCTTCCTTCTTCTTTCCAGTTTCTTCCCCAGCAACAGGAAGTGTGGTGCAACAAAATGGCCTATATCCTCCTAAAAGGACTCCCCGTTATGGATCGCAGAAGCCAGGAGGAGTCCCAGTAGGCGAGAAAGAGAAGCCTACAAAAAAAAGCCTGAGGGAATACTTTCATTCAAACCTTTCAGCTAAGAACTGGCAAAACCATTTCAGGTTTAGCTGGTATATTCAGCTCCGTGCCCCAGGAAATTACGAAGAGCCATCCTTGTCTACCAATCAGATCAAGTTAAGAGAATAATCTGGAAAATGCTGGGCTTTAGCTTCACTCTGTTCTTCACTAGTTACTCCCTCCATCCGTGTGAAAGACCAGAGTCCTGTTGGCACCCTGTCGCCATCAGGACCTCATCCAATTCAATCAGTGACAGATAGGGACCGTTGGAAACAGCAGATCATTAATCCAAACAACATACTCTCTGATGCTGTTATTTCTGTATGACATATGTTGCTACCTTTGCCATGCACTGATCATACTGATAAAAAAACTTTTATTAGTAGTAGGACAATCTGAAAAGACGAAATGCAAATAGATATTGCACACTTACCTAAAACTGGATTATTTTGCTAAAAATATTATCTATACCACTATATCCATCCCCAGTTTAGGGGTATCTAAAGAAATCTTTGGATTTATCTTTCATCTTTGGCCATTATCTCTTAATTTCTCTTTCTTTGCTGATTTCAGAAACGGTATCTAGCCTGGGGCTAAGCAGTTATAACCAACCTGCTTGTTAAGCATATATTTAAGTATATAGTGCTTTTTAACTGCTTGTTCTTTGTGCTCTGGAGATATATCAAAATAAAAAAGAAACATAAGTAAACTTGGGACATCAAGAGAAACAAGATCAGTCTAACAATTCGGGGAGGGTTGTTCTGTTATGAGTAAGTGGAATTTGATGTCCGCTGAAGCTTAAAGAACTGTAAAGTTCTGTCTGATAACTGCATTTCTTCTGAGATATTTTTAATTAAGTATTCTTTCCTGAACTCATACGGACGGTTAGAAGTGTTAATCACATACCTAAGCATGAATACTAACTAATATATGCTGTGTGCTCCTCATGATAATTTTGGCTAGTTAAGACATATTTTCACCCATGTCATCAGCTCTTGTGCAGGCAGTTTAGCACATGTCCTTATGGAAAGGAAAGAAAAAAATCAATTTAGGAAGATGAGATATCAATGAGTTATTTTAATTTACATTTTTAGGCCTGAATTTGTTGTAAACATGTTGCTTTTAAAATCATCATTCATTAAAAACTGCACCATCATATAGACTTAGCGACTTAGTACACAGTGCTAATTACACCATCTCACAGTACTGTCAGTAAATTATGAGTTTTCAGAGGAGTTACCCATGCAATTACCTGGTCTGCAAGTTAACCACTGAAATGTGCTACTGCCGTGTTATAATGTGGCTTCTTAAAAAGTCATGCGATACATTGAAGTCAAATGACTGTGGGTTTCTTGTACCACTAATGAAAACAAAATAATAATAAAGTGTAAACAACTAATTCATTCTATTATGCAATAATTACGTTGTCTATTTCATAATGGGCTAACTTGATTACAGTTCATTTTAAAGAGCTACACAAACAGCTAAGAACTGATACCCACCAAGACAGATCTGACTGAAAGTAGGAATCTCATAAAAGCTCATAAAATAATCTCTTATTGCCAGTTTCTCTTCAGAGCAGCAATAGCCAACTCTGCTATTACCTCGTCTATTTCAAAACCTTTGTAATCGTCTATCATCTTAAAAGTGGTCTTCCATTGTCACTTCCTATAAAATGTTGGCTTTCACCATTCCTTTGGTGGTGAGCAAGCAGTCTTGTATGTAGTCTTTAGTGCCATCTGAAAAAACACTAACAGGAATAAAGCTTAACCTACACCTTTTCCTTAGTATATATCTCCTTTGCATTTTCCATATTTGGCTTTACTTAAATTCTTTTGCTTCACCAAGAAACTTCTCATGACATTTGATTGACTACATTTGGCATAAGGAGACAGACACAGAGAGTTATCTTTAACCTCATTTAGCTATAATAGGACACCAGGCTGGAAGGGACAGCAAGGATCATCTAGTCCAACCTTTCCTGGCAGAAGCGTTGTCTAGACTAGATGGCCCAGCACCCCATCAGCTAAATCTTGAAAGTGCCTCATGCTGGGGAGACCACCACTTCCCCAGGGAGGTTATTCATGCCAATGGCTGATTGTTCTCATCATGAAAAATTTCCCACTTGTGTCCAATTAGAATCTTCCCAGGATTAACTTGTATCCCTTACCCCTCTACTTTTCCATGTGACTCCTTGAAAAAAAGGAAGTCTCCATCTTCTTTTTCGGCATCCTTTAGACACTGGAACATGGTGGTAAGGTCTCCCTGAACTTTCTTTTCCCAGTGCTGAGCAAGCCCAGCTCTCCCAGCCTGTCCTCACACCAAAGTCTGCCCAGTCTTTTGGTCATCTTTGTGGCCTTTCTTTGGACCCTTTCTATCCTGTCTGCATCTGTTTTGTGCATTTGGGACTAAAACTGAATACAGTAAGCCAGGTATGGCCTCACAAGTGCTGAGTAGAGTGGGATAATGACTTCTTTATCTCTGTTGATGATGCCTTTGTTGATGTAACCCAGCATCCTTTTGGCTTTCTTTGCTGCAGCAGCATCACACTGTTCACTTTTACTGAGCTTGCTGTTCACCAGGACCCCACAGAGCTGCTCCCTAGCTGAGTACATCCCAGCCTGCGCTTCACTCTTGGACTGTGTTTAGCGAGGTGTAAGACCTTACATGTGTGCTTGCTGAACTTTATAAGATTCTTGTTGCCTCACTCTTCCAGACTATCCACGTCATCCTGCAGGGTGGCTCTCCATTCCAAAGTGTCTGAATACTTTAGTCTGACCAGCGGGGTGAGTCAGCAGATAAGATCTGCATATGTGTGTATCCATCTACTAGCTGAAATGGACTTTGCTAAGTGAGGTCCTAAAATCTGTATTAGAAGGAGACCTAACAAATAAAGAACGAAAGGCATCTTTGTGCAGGGCCAGAATTCCAGAATCAGCACTAAAAAGAAGATATATGCTTTTTACAACCTAAATTGTTTTCTAACTGGGGTTTTTAAAGGTAAGGAACTTCACTGATTGTGCTTTCTCCCCTGTAGCTGTCCAAATTGTTCTGTCGTAACTTCTGAGCCAAAGGCTAATTCCAGCCTAATTTGATATGAGGGGGGCAATTCTCAGATAAATCAAGTCTTTGCTGCCAACTGAAAGAAGGACACCTCTGACTTAGCTCATGGCCTGTTCCAACAGGCAGCATCTAACCAGCCAGGCAGCAGTTAGATGTGTCATCTAACACAGCCTATCACATGTTTCTTTTGACCTAGTCAAATAGGCAGGAATGAAAGAAGGACCTGAGGGTAATGGAGGAAAATCAGGACATCATCAGTTATGATGTGCTAGGGGAATTAGGAAATAAATAGGAAATTTAGTGGAAATTAGGCTTTAATTCCAGTCTTCATTAGCTTGCTTTTTTACGTTAGTCTGACCTGTATGCCACAAGTCCAGCATAATTCCTACTATCAGATATTCACCTTAAGGAATTTTTACCTGATTTTTTTTTTCTCCTGAAAAACAGTAATGGAAATTAGAAGAATTGGAAGTGTTGTATGTATAGTGTTAAGCAGTATTTTAGCATTGCTGTCAGGACTGAATTGAATACCCTTTAGTGAGAACTTCTAGAAAATTTCCATTTCCACTGTAATAACTCTATTGTCTCACAAAAGGTGACACAGAGGGGAAATCATCATATATTGGATATGAGTGGGTAAGGGAGTGGAACTGGGCCTTTTTGTGTCAACCAAATGATCAAGCAGCTCAGCAGTTTCCTCTAACCACAGCCCAAATCTTGACGCATTTCATTTAAAACTCAAGAATATCCAACCTCCATAGATATTTGTTCTTCTACATCTTATTCAGAAACTTTCCATAAATCTCCTGTAAACAAGTTTTAGTTGAAAGTTTGAAAGACTTAAAGCTTTTGGATATGCCAAATATGTGGAAGGAGTGCATAAAACTATTCAAGTATGAAAAATAACAGAAAATTACATCAGGGTTGATAGATGCTGATATTCAGGTTTCTCATCTTGGTCATAAGTACTCATGTCACTCAAATACTACTGCAGTGTGCAACAGTCTCTAGATATTACTAATAATACCACAGCTCCTCGACTTAATATTTGTCTTTTGTCAGCAGGCCCTAAAGAATAAAAATTCAAAGTTGCTGAATTACCTTGACACCAGCATCCCATTGCTTTAATAGGCCATTTAGTATCCTGAGGTACATTAGAAACATTTTACTAATGATCCTTAGTATTCCTTGGGTTCAATAGAATTTAGTCAGGACAGACTGCAGGGCTTTTTAAGCCGAGATAGAAATATTGAAAATGAAAATTTTCCTTTAGAAAATCATTAGGCAGTGAAGGGCTGTTTTTCAGAGTAGATGTTTAGGAGCATATTGAGATTTTGAAGTTGATTTACCCACTCCACAATAGAACCATTTAAGGTAGAACCCATTCTTAGTTAAGAAAAGTGATGATTTGTTACTGCAAATCATAGAAAACTAATGGCTTTTCCATAGCAAAGGAAAACAGAGGTATATTATATTTGAGTTACTTTCAATCTAGTTTTTTATAATTCAAAAAAGAGGAAAAAATAAACTCCAGAGCATATAAAATATTCTGACTAGCCAAAAAAGACTCCTTTATTTGACAGATGTAAATAAGTTGTTGGGAAAAATACCAATTTATAAAAATGCAAACTAAGAAGCAATACTTTTGTCACAAAACTCATGAGCACAACAAATCTGCATCTTCAATTTTGACATACTCATGAGAAAGTGAGTTATGGAAACTGAAGGTGAAGATTTAGCTCTTGAAGTTAACATGTTTTTTTTTGTTTGTTTTGTTTTAAGGAAAGTCAGGTTTTCTTTGCAGGACATTTTACTAACAAATACTACACAAATAGCTCAAATGTTCTACAGCAGTAAGTAATAATTTAATGTGTGATTTTTTCCTTTGTTTGCTATGATTCACAGAATTCCTATCTTTCTATTATTTTTGTTTTAACAGTTCAAAACTAACTATGAAAAGAGAATGTTTAAAGTAGGTATTCCATCCAATGACACCTCCACAGTCGCTTCCATAATAAACAACGTGTCAGAAGCAATGGAAACCCTCACCCAGCTGAAAGAGGAAATAGTTCCTGTTCCAGGTTCTGTAAATGGAGTGAATGCCCTTGGCTTGGTGGTTTTCTCAATAAGCTTTGGCCTGGTGATTGGAAGCATGAGGGAGCAAGGTCAAGCACTAAAAGACTTCTTTGATAGCCTTAATGAGGCAATCATGAGATTGGTAGCTCTAATCATGTGGTAAGTGCCTCTTTGATAAATTCCATTTTAAGTTATTAATAACACTTTTTCATCACAGTCAGGTACTGGATAGCAACAGTCTGCTTGGCAGGAAATCAGACAAGAAGATCTTAACTACCTCAGGCTTTTTTTCATACATGAACCCAAGAACTGTAATTCTGTATGTCAACAATTTTGTTGACACACAACAAAGCGTTGACATTTTGTTCAGTACAATGTCAACAATCTACTCTTTCATTGTGTTTAGCCTTAGACATAAGAAAAATCAGGGTCTGTGGCAGAACTTGCTAAACTTACACTGAGCCATTCTGTGTCTAAAGATAACAATCACGACAGTGTGCTATCAAAGTTTCCTAATATCCTAATCTGACTTTACCAAAGGAAACCAACGTATCTCTCCCATAATCTTATTTCTACACAGCAAGACCTTGTTATCATTAGTTTCCAACATAACTGGTTCCTGCAGTTGGGTAGTGTATGCGTATGTCCTTGCATTGTAGCTGCACTGCTTAAACATACACATAATTTTCCTACTTCCTTTATTGTGTTCAATAGGTAAATAAACTCAACACCTTTTCCCTTATTAGGTATGAAGTCTTTTCAGGGACGAAGAACCATTATTTGTCGAAAGAAGGTTAATTAGAGAGCAATGTTGGATCTGATGGCTTAAAAATGCAATAGAGATATGCCGGGTGAATTTTGTTCTGTGGTAACTTAGTATGAATAGACAAGTGGGCATTTATAGATATAAAGCTGTACCAAATGTCCAGCTGCAGCAGAATTACATTAGGGTTTTATGCTCAGCGCTGTCTCTTTCTTCATCTATAGTTGTGCTTACCCGCAGGAGAAAATAGATCATACCACATTGGTTGCTGTCTTGCAATGCAGCTAAAATCTGTCATACAGATGGTTTCACGCTTATGTATTTATCAAGTGCCCCACCGTATAAAATGGGGTATGGCCAGAAGCAGCTTGAAATTGAAATTATCAGATGTTTTCCCAACAACATGGGAAACAGCACTGGTGAGAGGACAGAACTAGGTGCATGGCCTAGTCTACAAGTATGTCTATTGAGCTTTCATTCATATAAACAGAATTATAACAGAATTGGCTAAACTGGCTTTTAAATTACATTTGAATTCCAAAGAGACCCAATCTCCGTACATGTCTGATAGGCATGCTATGCATCTTGAAATCCTTATCAGATTCCGAATCCAGTGGAGCCTGTCAGAAACATTCACCACTGTGGTTTAATCCAGGTTGAACTGTGAGAAGTTAAACTCTTGAAATGCTTCTGAATGATTACAGACATCCTAACTGTGAAATCCTATGACTGTGCTTCGGTATAAAGATAAAAAGTCTCTATGGGGGACTGAATTTCTACTTTTAGTACAATACTGATTTTGTTTATTATTTGAAGGTATGCTCCACTTGGAATCCTCTTCTTGATTGCTGGAAAAATTGTTGAGATGGAAGATATGGGTGTGATCGGTGGTCAGCTTGCCATGTATACCGTAACAGTTATCATCGGTTTACTAATTCATGCTGTCATTGTCCTACCTCTTCTCTACTTCCTGATCACTCGTAAGAACCCTTGGGTATTTATTGGAGGCTTAATCCAGGCATTAGTCACAGCTTTGGGAACGTCTTCCAGGTATAATACAGTATTTTAAGGCCATGTGTTTTTTATAATATTACTGATTTAAGAAAAAATCGTTCATTGTAATTGGTTATTCAAGGTTTCACTTGAGCACTTTATTTCTGTTCTGCTGCTCTCCAATAGAGATAATTGTTTTCATTATACTGACTTGAACTCAATTTTCTATAAAAATCACTAAGCAGAGATTAGTCTGTTTGGTGATTCCAACTATACAGCTGGAATCCATGTGCTTTAGTCTTGATGTTTTAAGATTTTCAGGTAGTTTCTAATGGCATGTGACCAAAACATTGATCACATACTGATTTTCTAGCTATTGCTGAACAGTATTTACACAGCATTGAGGCCTTCTCTATTTCTCATTTGACCCTTCAGTGAGTAGATTGAGGGGTGTGTGACAGATTGACAGGGCACAGAACCAGGAAGATTCCATGCCATATACAGTATGCTCAGCAATCAAAAGGCAAAGGAGGTGATTTTAGGTAGGCTAGCCACGTTTTACTAGGGAATTGACCTGGCATTGATCTGTCTGTGGGAGACTGTAAGTGATTGCCTTTGCATGACTTGTTCTATTCTAGTTTTTTCTCTTTTCTTCCATTTATCATTCACTTATTAAGCGTTTTATTTTTCCCCCACAAATATCAACCCCTGCATCTGCTTATTTTTAGTGTTCCTTTCTTCTTTACCCCTTTCACTCAAGGTATAAGGGCATGTAAGTTAAGCGGCTATGTGGTGCTTCGCTGCCTACTGGTGTTAACCCACAAGTGATGAAGTAATGCAACTCTCTGTCAAATGCCCTTTCCAGGGGAACTGGCAAATAAATAAGAGAAAACATGCTGTTTACTGAAGGCTTCAATAGCTCAATTTATATAACTTAGAGAAAACAGTGCGTAGGGATGGTTCAGTAATAACTCCATGACACGAAAAATGAGAAATAGGGTTCTTCTGCCCAGCAGTAAAATCTCATGACAAATTACTGAAATTAGACACATTCAGACCAGGTTTTGCACAGAGAGTGACAGTAAGTAACCACTGGAAAAAATTCCAAGAGCATCAGGAGAATCTCCATCATTAGAAGTGTTTAAAGGCCTTTGCATTTTTAGAAAAATATTCTGCCAGATCACATAAAAACTAAGACATACAGAACAATCCCTAGTCATCACAGTGTGTGGCACTCTTTTCATTCCCTTTTTGTAGAATTTATATCGTATATTAACTTCTTTCTTTTTGTTTTAGTTCTGCCACACTACCTGTTACATTCAAGTGTCTAGAAGAAATAAATGGAGTGGACAAACGAGTTACAAGATTTGTACTCCCAGTTGGTGCTACAATTAATATGGATGGAACTGCTTTATATGAGGCTTTGGCTGCAATTTTCATTGCACAGGTTAACAACTTTGATCTGAACTTTGGGCAGATTATCACAATCAGGTACAGAAATCATTACCTATATCTTATAAAAAAAGTGTTCTGTAATGACACCTTGCTGTTGTATATGGGATTAAGCAAAAGCATTTAGAGCTAAAACCAAGAACTGCTACAGTAGCTGAATAGCTGTAATGATTTACATCTTCTGCACATACTCTCCATTAGTACACCTTCAAAAAACTGTAACATGACACTTAGTAGAGGCAACCAGAACAGTTTTTAATTACTTTTAAATTTTGTTTCTTAAGAACTCATGCAGCTATTGAGAGCTGTAGACTTACAATCAGTATCATGTAGTTTATAATGGCTGTACAAAGCGATAGCATAAAGCAGCAGAGTACTAATGCTAGGAGAAGCACTGTTTTCCTAGTCCTGAAAGTACAGGATACAAGTAGAGCAAGCTGCGTAAGGAGCAGTAACGCCTTTTATTACATCAGCTGATACAGGTGGAGAAGATAGGTACATTCTCAAGCACACAAGCCTTTATGTTTGAAATAGAACTGTAAACAACCCACTAAGTAGCACCCGATGATAAATGATCTGCATTAATTTCCTTATGTTACTCAAATAGTTAGAGGGAAAAGGGTGATGGGTACACGTGCAGAAGAAATAAATGTTGGCAAGGCAAAAGAGGGACACTGTAGGACAGGGAGACACATATTTATCACTTGGGAACACTTAAAGTTCATATATGGAGAACTGGGAAGGTAGAAGATTTTTAAGAAGTACTTGTCTCCATAAAAACCTCCAGCATAATTCAAAATTCATCAACAGATGGCAAAACTCTGCCTTCCTGCTCTGAGGCAATCGTCCACATTCGTTAGTACTAGAGCTGCTCCTGCCAAATAACCTGACAAAACAAATTCTTCCTAAACTAGGTGTGAACAATCGTATTTATGTCAAGTTACTAGACTGCATGATTCAGGGTTTCTGGCAGGCTTCTGTTTTCTGATGGCAGAACGCCAACTGCTGGAGGACATATACTTCACCTGGCATGAAGTATATGTACAGTGAGATGGACAGAGAATAAAAGTTCTTGCATTAGATCTGCCAGGACAAAATTACCTCCTCAGCTTGTTTTTTTAACATGCTTGAGCTTGTGGTGTGAGTTTACTCAGTGGGTGGGGGCAGGTAGCCATAATGTTTTTTGACTGGCCCTTAGCATCCAGCAGGGGATTTAACGCCTAAAAACCCCCACGTTTCAAGGGTTCTGGTGTAGATTTAGTGTAAACATTTTTGGATTAAGATCCACACTCCCCTGCAGCTGTGCAGTGTTCAGATAAGGGACTAGACTCATCTTATTTACTACTGAGTAAATCCCTTCTTGTTTCATTTCTGGTTTTAATGTTTGCCAGATGATAAGGAGACTTTATTATGGAACTTGATTAATTGCTCTTGCCGTCTCTTTGCACAGCATCACAGCTACAGCTGCCAGTATTGGGGCTGCAGGCATTCCCCAAGCTGGACTGGTCACCATGGTCATTGTGCTTACATCAGTAGGTTTGCCTACAGATGATATCACTCTTATCATTGCAGTGGACTGGTTCTTGTAAGTATTTTTATGGAGTCACTAAGGTCTTGGACCATATTTTGAAGTGCAATTGCCAGGAACATCCTAGCAATACTGCAGTCAATGGTGTACTTCTTTTTGCTGTTGGAAAGAAGTGTTTAAAAAAAAAATAAATCACAATTTCTTGCAATTAAGGGATTTTCTTGGAGCAGATGGTGGAGGGTGTTACTTAATGAAAAGGGTTACTTAGAAACCTGGATCTTTAAAGTACTAAGAAAGGTGTACCAGGCACACTGTAATTAAGTTAGCAAAAAATTGCTTTAGTCTTCTGTTTTCTGTAGGATGGTGATGAAAACCCTTCCATCAATCAGGCTCAGAGCTGGTTCAGATCCAACCCAGTTCATTGCATCCCTGCTGACTAATCTAGGGAAGGTTTATATGTCTACCCCATGCTAACGAAAAACAGTTGTGAAACTCTCTTATCCAGCTACCACAGTGTATTGCCCCCAAGATTTTCCACTCCTCTGCAGAAGACTGACACTTTTATGTATATGGGGAAACACCTTAAGTCCAGGGACTAAATCAAAAGCAGGTGGTTTCCTCCAACCTCTCTTTCACCCTGCATTTACAAGTTAGCTTTTCTAAAGGCTTTTTACCCTGCAGCCTTCTCAAGTGATGCCTGCAAGAAGTTGCCCATGTTGTTACCAGAACTTAATGTCTTCAGATGGTTAGCTAACCACATGCCCACAGCCTTATGCAGGTAGACACAAAGTGACAGTGCCAGTTACTCCTTGTCCAGCTGCTTTCTACATCTTCTGGACAGGGCCCTTTAAGAGGGCTAAATTGTTGTAGTTTAATTTTAAGGATTTCAGCATAGTTCCACCCTAAATTACTGACCGTAGTTTATGGTCAGGAGAAAAACAACCCTAAAAAGCTACTTACTGGCTTAAATGTTCAGAGGATATAAACTCAAACACCAGAGTACACATACGCCTCCAAGAAGCGCCTTCCATATGTTCCTTTTGTCGCACTCATCACACAGCTATTTCTTGCTGGGAAGTTGCCAAGAGTATTAACACATTTTATGACTCCAAATGCTATTATATTTGTTAATTTCCATAGAAGAAATCATGGCATTAAAGGTCAAATAAATATACATAAAATAGCTGAATCAGTAGCTATGTAAGGCCATTTTAAGAGCTAGTCTGCAGGCTTCAGTGAACAAATGGTGAAATCAAAGGTAACTTTCTGTTTCTCCTTAGGGATCGCCTCCGTACCACTACCAATGTCTTGGGAGATTCCATTGGAGCAGGAATTGTTGAACACTTATCGCGACATGAGCTGAAGAACAGGGATGCTGAAATGGGTAATTCTGTGATAGAGGAGAATGAAATGAAGAAACCATACCAACTGATCTCACAAGAAAATGAAAGTGAGAAACCATTAGATAGTGAAACCAAGATGTAAAGTAGAGAAAGCATGATTCCAACACTACAAAAGTGGAAAAGACATACTTTTTCCAGCCATTTTTATCTTGAATTCACCAAGTTCACTTATTCCTTGATTTCTCCCTTTACGCTTGCACCAGAAAGAATTAATGAGAATATGTTCCAAATTAGCAGTGATCATGGTGTATGTTGACTTCCCACTTAAAAAGAGTTAACAGGCAACAACATGGATCCTGCTAGACATGTGCTAACTGGGGATAAAAAAAAAAAAAAAGAGAGATTGTCATTTAAATTAAAAAAAAACAGAAGTCTGAATATGTTGCTCAGTCCTCTGCACTTTTTTTTTTTTATGAACTGGAAAGTAAAAACACTTAACAGAGCCTGAAAATGGTTTTATTTTTTTAAATACCAGTTGTAAAATTCCTAACATTTATAAATACACAATCAATACTTCTAACTTGGTTTCTGCATCCTGCTAAGTAAATTAACAGGTTTTTTCCCTTTTTTTCTGTTGGGTTGTTGTTTGGGTTTTTTTCTTTAGTTGTTCGAATACTAGCAGGACAACAAAAAGAAGGACAATATTTGAAAAGATAAAAAGATACATAAATTTAAAAAAATACCCGACATCAGCACTTTTGTCAGCTGAATTGAAATATTTGATAAAGTTATTTCATTTAGACAGAGATTTTTGCATTAGCCTCAGCTGATCTTGGCAAAAAAATACCCTGTTAGCTTCTACTGACTTGCAAGCATTTATGTATGTATATGTGTACTTCCAACCTTGATTTGCCCCCTTAATTTCAACATCACGACCCAGGTGAACAATCTATGTGTGTGTTTTCAGGAGAAAGGCCATGGGCTGTATTGAGTCTGGGACGGAAAATGTCTCTTTTCTCCAGAGAGACAGAACATCTCCTGTTGGGGGAAAAAAACCCCACAAACAATGCCATTATCTACTTAAAACACACTTATAACAATAAAAAGAAGTGCCCTTCTGGAGAAGGGGCAGATGGGTGAGATGCTCAGATGCTAAAGGGATTAGATTCTAATTCTGGATCCCTGGGACCAACAGGAGGATTTCTGATTGGAAAACTTCCAAATGTTGGTCATCCCACTGGTAAGTTATAGAGCTATTAGATGGATTTACATTTTTCCATCTGGAGAAAAAGGCTCCCTGTTTCAATGCAAGATTTTGAAATCCTTGTTTATCACTAGCATCTCAAAAAGAAAAAATAATACCCTTAGAAGGTGCAATTAATAGGTGGTTTTTAATAGAAAAAATATATAAATTGTGGCATAGTAAATACTATAATAAATGTTGAAATTTTGATTAGAAGGATTTTAAAGCACAATATTGTAGGTTTCTTTCAGGGAATAGATATTGAAAGAATGAAAAAAGTGAAACAATGCACTTGTAATCTTGTGGCTTTTTTTGTTCAATTCAAGATTATTCTTTGATGAAGCTATTTTCTAGAAATATAAATCATGTATTTCTTCCTTTTTGCCTTGTCTTATTATAGAGGTTAAACTGCAAAGTTTTATAATGAAGTTACAACTGGGGGGATGAAAAAATATTAATCAACAGGCACAATAGTGTTGAGTGATTTTTTAATTAAAATGATTGTCTATTGCTCCCTATCCAAAACTTCTGATGGCAGAAATGAAGGATTCCCTTGCAATGTCCCAGTTGCCACAAAAAAAAAAAAGCATTCAGTATGTTAGTTCTGTCAGTAAATGAATATAAACATGGTGTACAATAACTATTGTGAAAATGTCAGCATGCTGGTTGAAAAGCAAATCTTTTCCCAGGCAAGACTGATTTTTTTTAAGGACTGAAAACTCCTGCCCATCTTCTCCAGTTGAGTAACCGAGACAATACGAGCAGGAACTCTACAGTGAATGAAGTGAGCAGGGTTTAATACAAAGTATTGAGCAGTCAAACCAACAAAGCTCTAAATGAATCTCTGACTGAAAGAGAACAAAAATGGGGGATTTTTTTTTTTTTTTTTTTTGCTAACAGAATGCAAATCTAGGATATAGACCGGCATTTTCTGACATGTAATTAGAGATATTTTTATATAGATACTGTATTCAGAATGTGTGTATAAACATTAACAGTAGAATTTATGGCATAACAATTTAATTTTTTGTGAAGATTTTGTTTGGAAATACATAGCAAAGACAATGTAAATGGCTGTCTTTCTATGACATCAGCTGAGAAAAAAGAATTGTGTCACAAAGAATGTGATCTTTTTTTATACTAACTTTGTTTGTTATGGAAATCAGGTATTATAGAAAGATTCCCTTCCCCATACCTCACTGGTTCTGCATTGATGTGCACCCAGTGTGGATTGAGAAACATTACTTTGTAGATGTATTTTCAATAAAAATAGTTTTACATTACTGCTTTCTTGTGATTTAGAATTTCTGTCAAAGGTTCTGTAATAGAAGCTTTGCACAAACTGAGAGATGACAAACTCATGAGATTTCAGGAATTCAGGGATATTTTTACAGAAAGGATTTGATATAGCAAGGCTTCCTCATTTCCAATACCTGCTTACACTTTTACGATCAAGAATAAATAAGCAAACAGGGAGAGAACATTAAAAATTAAAAGAACCAATGTTCACCTACTTACATTCATTCAAGTGTAGAAATTCATGTTGATATCTGCAAAATACTAAAAAAAAAAAAATAAATAAATGGCATTGACATTTCCATTTGTTTGGCTACCGCAAAGCTGCAGTTTCATTTCAGATGTATAAGCAGATGGTCCAAAACCCCCGTGGACTGGGTTATTACGGCATCATAACATTACATTACATAGTTACATTACACTGTCCTAGACAGTCCACTGTTTTTCTGACAGAAGTGGTTTGTGATGGTGTCAGGGTTTATTCAGCAACAATTTCACCTAGCAGTTGTCATCTAATGGAAGTGAATGTCTTCCCAGAGGACTGAGAAAGTATAGAAGGCATGAGCTGAACCACTTGCATCTGGAAAGCTGTGTCAGTTGAAGCAGATGAATGCAGCAGGGCAAGTCCTACCTTCCTGAACATAAACCAGCAAACCACTGGACAGTGACCTCTGTGAATTCACCTGTGGTATTTTAAGTGAAAACAACATACAATACAACCAGTTTGGGGGGAAAAAAAAAAACAAAACAGAGAAGACACGGTTTTCTAAAGTCCATAAGCGTAGCTGTTCCCAATTGTTTTCTAGTTATCTACACATTCATTCACTCAATCCAGGTAAGTATCTTTATTTTTCTAGAATTGCTATCATGATGGGAAGAGCTAAAGAGAGAGGGTTATGTATCACTTAGACATGCTATTCTTCTGTGCACCCATGCAGAATAAAGATTACTGGTATTCCATACTCTTTATGGAATAATAAATAATCTTTTTCAGCAGTTTCCATTTGGAAGCTAGGGTACAAAACAGCCATGCCATTCTCAGGCAAGAATTGATGTCTGTAACAGTGTGTGGCCAGTGTAAAGCAAAGTGGTCATGCATGTGGAAAATCAACTTTTGGCACAGAAAAGTATTTCTGTCTTCACTTCTGAAGGACTGGATTTTCACAAGTGGTATATGTGTTCCAACACAGGCACAACTAAGAAATTTAGGGCTTTTTTTTTCAACTTACACTGTAACACAAGCTTGGTTTCATAAAGTTATAATGCAAATTGTACAAAAAAATTTATCTTGCTTCCAGTGTAATTAGTAGCACATGATCAACTTGATTCTGGTGAGATCAGACATTTCTCACAACAGGAGAAAAAGTCTGAGATACACTAACAGAGCACTCCTTCTCTGGATTTCTGTGCCATCTTTCTGAAGTGATCAGCTTACCCTGGAAGCGTGGAGTAAGACAGAGAAAGACTCTGGAAGATGAAGACTTGTACACTTCCATGCCAAACTGAAAACCCAGACTTACCGCACCAGTGAGGCAAGATTCCTTCTGATAATAAAGGGACATGTAGTCAGGTGATATAATCCTGCACACTGAGCCTTTCTTCCTCTCTTCCCCCACCTGGTTCCTCAGATGTGTGTAAGATACTCAGATGTATCTAAAATTCCAAAATTTTAGTACAGGAGCACTTGCATCTCTATTCAAAGTTTTTCTTTGATATGCCTCATTACACAACTAGGGCTGCACAAATAACTGATTTTTCACTTCAGTAAGAAAACTCAAAAACTGGGAAGAATAATTCTTCCATGGCATCATGAAATTTTTCTTTATTGTGCAATGTTATTGCTTGGGGGGGGGGGGGAAGAAGAGAAAAAAAAAGAGTCTCAGGTATAATGAAATGTTTTATTCTCTACTTCTTGAAACATCAGATCTCACTTCTGGATCGTTTTTATTCTACCTTGAATTTAAACAAACTCAGCTGTAAAGTGAGCTGGAAATAAAACACTGAACCACTTTGCTAGGAAAATGTCAAAATGAAATATTTCAGCTTTTCTATAATATCTTCCCACTTTAAAGCCAATTGTATTCACAGAAGTTGGAACAGCTTAACAAGTACTTGCCTCACAACTGTATTTTTCAGCAGTATATTTTTATATTAATGCTTTTTTTGTTCTTTACAACTTCCTTTCTCCAGACTTTGCACATTTTTCTGCTTTTTCTGGTTGTTTAGATATGTTTTCTTCATTATATGATTGGTTTTTTAAACAATTTTCAGAACTCTTGATATTTGATGAAAATGGTAAACATCAACTCTTATCTGATATCTTTCCACTCTTATTGCTATTACGCTTGCTCTTAAGCTTGTGTTCATTTCCTGCATCATGGTTTTTTTCAATGTGTTGGCCAGTTTCCCACTTTCTTCAGTACCGTATTCCTCTCCTCATCTATCACACTTTCTCTCTTGGCTTTACTCTTCATTTTAACAGCTTCTCCTCCAAGAACTCCACTGCAGCAGGTCTTCATAAACTCAGATGCAGGTCTCAGTGGTATTCTTGATCTCCTTCGTAAATCTAGGCATGATTCAGCCTTCCTGTGTGTTGGTCATGACCCACAAAATAGGGACAACAGTGTTGCCCTGGATGGAAACACTAGCAAGAGATTTCCAGAGATCAAGGCTCTAGAGAGCTGGTACAATGGGGCTGACACACATGCTTGCATCATGGCTCATGTACCATCCAGACCCTGAGGTTTTGCCCTTACTGCATAGTAGCTTTGTACTATTAAGTGCTGTGTTACAGATACTTGCAGTGTATTTAAGGATTTATGCTACCCTCTCTTCAAATCAAAACTTAAATGAAGTTGTTCATCTTAACTGTACATAAAACCAGGCCAAATCCTGTGGTGCTTGCTGTCTCCTTTCACTTGCAAAACTCACATGAATAGCAATAGGGAAGGATAAAATAAAGACCTGACTTGGATTTCACACACAGAGAATAAACTACAGCACAAAGTTACTCAGAATTAGCGCTGATGACAGGTGGTGACTGTCTTCCACTCTGAGCAGATGCAACACAAACCTCCCCTCACAAAACTGCCAGTTCACCTTGCTCATGACCTGCAGTTCCTCTCCTATTTGAATCCTGCTCCTCTCTCAGGCAGCAACTCCTGACCGTGCCAAATTGCCTGTTGGTTTTGTGATATGCACAAATGGGGACTGGGATGAGACCACACAACTTGCTTTCATTTATGGGCTAAGCCAGGATTTAAGGCCGAGCCTTCAGAAGAAAAAGACTACGGTACTAACCCACTGTGCCACTTAGCCTCCACAGTGCAAAAGAGCTATTCAAATGCTGCCAGCGCTTCATTTTCAGATGTACTGTGGCTGTGTAACAAACAGCCTCCTGGAATTGCGCTTTCCCAGCAATTACAGCCAAAATTTTTGTCTCATTGGATTATGCTGCCATCGTGTGGCACTTGTTTTATACAGGTAAAGTTTCCTCTACAATTAAAAAATAGTTAAATCCTCCAATGAACAGTTAGCACAACACTTAACATTTGCTTCAGGTGCAGAATATCGCTATTATTGTTATTATTAGCCAATCACTATTGGTATAATGATAATCCAATTTATTCACATAAAGAATATACTTGTTCCTCTTGTCCTCTGTTCAGCACAGCCTTAAGGAGGCTCAGCTGTGAACACCTTCATTCTCATATTGATTTTTTTGTGTGTCTGTATTTATTTGTCTGCACTTTATCTGAGCAGCTCTGAGGCAAGACGAAGGTGTCTTGGGAAAAATATGTGCTACAGTTCCTGAAACACTTTTTTAGAAACTGTGGGAATACTAGTACATCGGCTAATTTGTTAACCCTAATTTCTGGCACAGTGGAGTTTCACAGCGTTATTAATGTCTTTTTCAGTCTTAATTATTTCCCTTTGAGGAGACTTTCTTTTAGTAATCTGATGTCCCCCAAGGTGCTATGAAAATGCTAGATTTGCACCCTTGTAATCTATACCTGCCAAACCTTGCCGCTATTGATGCATATAGGCAGTACATTGACTTGTAGTCTTTCCCCAGGAGCCCTTGGCTAATGATCCTTGAAAAACAAAGATCAAGAATGTCAGCTGCAGCCAGAAAGCATCTCTTATATCTAGCAAAGAGAACATACAAAACATTTTAGGTTTTCTTTCTCCTAAGACTGAGTCTGACCTGGGCCAGTTCCCTGGCTCATCTGCTCTAATCTGCCAAGTTATGGAGCCCATGAGAATACAGACAAGACGTGAGCACTGAAAAGTATATTGGAGTTGTCACTGACAGTTTCCTGAAATAATTGGTTCAATGCATTGGCCCCAAAAGACAGCAAGATGCTGGGTGTCATCAGGAAAGACAGTCAGAACAAGAACAGAGGGCATAATATTGCTGCTGGGGAAAGGCCTTTGTGCAAACACACCTGAGTCCTATAGACAGTCCAGGCCCCTGTATTTCAAGGAGGATATACAGGAATTTAGAGAGGTAGAGAGAAATGGACATGAAATAAAACAGCTGCCTTATGAGGTGATACAAAAAGGCTGGGACTTCTTAATTGTAGAGGTTGTATGATGAATAGCAAAATCGAGAAGGCAATGGACAAGGTAAGTGCAGAGTTGCTATTCACCATATCCAATACCACTAAACACAGTGGGAAAAGGATGAACTACTGGAAGAGTATTTTAAAATGGAGAGTTTAGTTAAAAGAGAGTACAGCTTAACAAAATGCGTAGTGAACTTTGGGGCTGAGCTGTCACAGGACATGCAGGCAGACAGGGAAAATGGATGACCCAGGGAATTACAGACCAGCCAGTCTCACCTCTGTGCCTGGCAAAATCTTGGAGCAGATTCTCCTGGAAGGAATGCTAAGGCACATGAAAAACAACAAGGTGCTTGGTGACAGCCAGCATGGCTTCACTACGGAGAAATCCTGCCTGACCAATTTGGTGGCCTTCTATGATG